GGAGTAGAAAGTACAGATACTTCATGTAAAATGTAGTGGAGTAGAAAGTACAGATACTTCATGTAAAATGTAGTGGAGTAGAAAGTACAGATACTTCATGTAAAATGTAGTGGAGTAGAAAGTACTTCATGTAAAATGTAGTGGAGTAGAAAGTAACCATGATGAAATCTACTTAAGTACAGATACATAGAAAATGTACTTAAGTACAGCAACAAAGTACTTGTACTTAGTTACATCCCACCACTGCTAATAACACAAGCAAGGATTATATTTCCACCAGTAGCCCATATTATATAAGATTATTAATTATATTGTACATTTTCTATGTTATTATTCCTGTTAATCATTCGACAACCGAGCGATGACTGCAAACTAACTTTAGCAAGTGTTTCTATTAATCAACACTGAGAAAAATAAAGAACCTAAACTGTGAATTTTAATTTGACGATAATAACTAACCTTTCCCGAGCAGATGAGCCGGAGGTGAACACTTCCTGGTTTCGCTCTGAGACGAGCGTGACGCGTAGGGGGCGGGGCTTCTGCTCCAGAGGCGGGGCTTCTGCTCAAGAGGCGGGGCTTCTGTTCTGCTCAAACAGCGGCGGTTACTTCAAGTTGTTGTTTACTTTTCCGCGCAGAGCTAACTGTTTACATTTCAGCAACATACGACGTTTGTGCCGCTTTACTACACAACTCATGCGGTGGTTGGAGTTCAGATTGATGTCTGCTCAGCTGAGTTGTCTCCGGGGTTGTAGATAAAACGTGACTGATCACCTCCGGTGTTCACGCTCCGCTCCGGCCGTTAACGCCCCGCGAGCTGCAGCCACATCATGCCCGTGGTGCTGCGCTCCAGACGACGCCTCCAGCAGGGCAGCGGGGTCCGGTTACAGCCAGGACCGACGAGAAGGTCGACCCGCCTGCAGCCGAGACGTGAATCTGAGGTGGGTACTCTCCCGCCTCCTCTTCCTCCTCTTCCTCCTCTGCTGCTCAGAACCGAGCCGACACGAACTGGGCCACGTAGCTCAGAACGAGCTTTGTTTAACGAGCCCAGTGTCCGTGTAGCGACAGATATTTACTTAAACTACGTGTTCCTCGGTTATTAAACCTTTTTAGTGTTTAGCGTTAGCGAGGTGCTTAGCGCAGGTTTACCTGAAACCTTAGAAACCCGCGTCCTACAACAACACAGCCTGTTGGACATTAACTGATAAAAGACTGCGTGATGGTAAGTTCTCATATAATGTAATGAGTTTTCATATAATGTAATGAGTTCTCATATAATGAGTTTTCATATAATGTAATAAGTTTCATATAATGTAATAAGTTTTCATATAATGTAATGAGTTATGATACTGCTGTGGTGATGTATAAAAGGACCATAAATGGTGTTTTTCATTATTTCTTCCACTGACTGGTGGCACAGCACTGAACCTCCATCATTACAGGAGAATAACAAAGTGTAGAAGACACACAGTTATAAGATCCTCTTTGTGTTTCTAACCTTCCAGTTCTGCCAGGATTCAGATGAGTCAGACCCTGAGCCTGTCCTGAGCCGAGTCATGGAGAGGGATCAACATGAGCAGGAGGAGGAGGTGCAGGAGGTGGAGGAGGAGGAGCAGGAGGAGGAGGCTGCTGATGAAGCAGAACTGGTGAGACCCTGCTGAAGCCCAGCTCCCAGTGTGACCTTATTAATCTACCTCATTAAAGTTAGTTATTAAACTACCTTATTAAAGCTAGTTATTAAACTACCTTATTAAAGCTAGTTATTAAACTACCTTATTAAAGTTAGTTATTAAACTACCTTATTAAAGCTAGTTATTAAACTACCTTATTAAAGTTAGTTATTAAACTACCTTATTAAAGTTAGTTATTAAACTACCTTATTAAAGTTAGTTAGTAAACTAACTTAAAGTTTTTAGTTAGTAAACTAACTTATTAAAGTCAGTTATTAAACTACCTTATTAAAGTCAGTTATTAAACTACCTTATTAAAGTTAGTTATTAAACTACCTTATTAAAGTTAGTTAGTAAACTACCTTATTAAAGTTAGTTATTAAACTACCTTATTAAAGTTAGTTAGTAAACTACCTTATTAAAGTTAGTTAGTA